TTTTTTAAGCATATACCTGCATATTGACATTTATTGGAACGAAGCGTTGCGAAAATATATGTAGTCTTTGTCGTCAGTTTTGGACATTTTCCGACACATCTTCTCGTTTCACGAAGCAGAAAATAGCGAACCATTATCTGCCCATTTACAAAGATGAGGTGCAATGGAATCTGAAAAAAGCTAAACTGCCACGGGGTAAATTGATTGCTCCGCAAGATTGCATGCCAACGAAGCTCACATCGGAATCCGTGCTATCTTCTAGTAGACAAGCTACTAAGGAAAGGTTAGGGTAGTGCTTTATCACTTTGGCAAACCCTCTCGAGCATTGACCTCACGTTTCAGCTATCACGAGAGGAAAGATCTTTTTTGCTTATGCTGCGGAGAGGACAACGCGCAGCTTTTTATTATTTCCTTCGACACGTTGGCATCACAGCTATCCCACAGATTCATGTATTCACTTTAGGAAGATGTAGAAGACGACAACCCGGTACACGTTCTGACTTATTGCATCGGTTCGACATTCGGTTTTCCATTACACATAAGTGTCTTGTTCTGTAGAATAAGCCGTGTGTTTATGAAATTTGTGCCTTTTTTAATTTGGTGCTGAAACGATTTAGCCACGTTTGTCGGTCCTGTTTGCACGAGCCCGCACTGATCGCAAAATTGATATAGCATTCTTTGTTTAGGATCGCAGGTAAAATTCCAGGACCCATCAAGTGCACAGTTCTTTCTATCAATTTGGAAGCTATCGATCTAAAATTTGCTGCAAATGTTTTCCAAGGCCGGGCATCTGTATTGCTCTACACAGTTTCACAGTGGCAGCTCGATTAACGTAGTTTTTCTCGAGCTTTCGAGTTTACCTTGATGGTACATTAATTAACGTTAGCCCCAAGTCTTGGGAAATACGAAGATGGGTTGAATAAAAAGGGGGGGGGGGGGGGGAACGCTTTCTATAATTTATTTTCATAATTCATCTCATCATTCCTCTAACATTCCCCCCATTGCCAACTGAATTCGTACATTGAATTGGGGTTACGAGGTTAAACTGTTGAGCACGTTATGCACGTTTTTTTAAAAACGCTTTCGCGATTTAATATCAAGCGTTAGAGAAAAAAACATTTTATGTGTGCTTGTTCTAAATTCAGGCATAAGAACGAAAGTCTTAACTTGCTACGTTTTATAAGAAACTGGTGTTGTTGCTATGTTTGAATTTCGACAGCATCGCTGAAATCACAATGAATGCAGTACTCCCGCATGTGATATTTCGCCGAATTTAATAAAAAAAAAAAAAAAAAAAAAAAAAAAAAATCAATAAAATAATTTATAAGTCAATCAACAGCTGTTATGAAGTTGTCTTCTTGTTTATTCGCTCCGTTCAAAAATCATATTTAATTCTTGTTAATCAAGTTATGATTGACGTTGATGGCGTTCTTATCTCTGTGATGATGATGAGTGCTTCAAAGAGATTTGCTTTAATCTTTTTTTGTTTTTTTGTTTTTTGTTTTCTCATTATCTTTTCACACAAAATATCGTTAAAATATCGTATATGAAGTTACTGGAAATATCTTTTAAAACGTGCTAAAAATCTAGTTCTCTACTATTATTGAAATAGTGTATAATTTGCAATTAGAAATATTTAACAATAATAATGTTGCATAATTTCGGTTTTTTGCGTTCAGCGAGCAAAGTAATTTTTTTCAAATTAAATATATATCCAAATGCTTAACCTGTTTTTTTCTTATTCGATTTTTTTTTATATTTTTGAATAATTGCAGCTACTAAAACACCCGTTGTTTTGCTAACTAACAAGACGTGGCGGAGAGAGAGAGAGAGAGAGAGAGAGAGAGAGAGAGAGAGAGAGCGAGAGCGAAAGAGAGAGGAAGAATTGGAATACCATATTTAAAGAAACGCGGAAAAAAAAAAAAACAAAGTGTATTGCACGCCCGCACACCAAAAACGAATATATTCGAAAAATTTTAGAAGAGAAACAACAGCTAAAGCTTTAATTAGTCTTTACTGCTGCCACAATCAATAATGGCTCAGCATTGCCGCAAGACGGCGTTAACGGTGGCAGCAATCGCTATACGATCATCATTATGATTCATAGCCAAAGCGAATATTGAAGGTTTTGCTTTAAAAGATATTTAAGAAAGAATCCTCGCACATACGCACCCACACACACACACACACACACACACACACACACACAAACACAGCACGCACACAGTCATACATACAAACATAAACAAACACAAACACATACACACATACATTTACACATATAAACATAAGTAACTTCAGCATAACGACTTTTTCTAACATCGAAATAGAAAAATTATTCTCACACACACCTGGAGCGCTCATCTTGACAAGAAGAACATTGCAGTGCATAGAGATATCAGACTGAGAAAATTGAAAGTTGTTCAATAGAAAACCTTTCAACATAGTTATGGCACATTTTTGCGGCTTTACAAAACTAATATTTTTACTACTGGTAAGTAATTAAAAAACAAATCATATCTTAATATAGTGCTATTAACATCACAAATTACTGAGGCGTCTATTATAAATAAATTTATTTTTATCCGCAATTTCGTCCCCTTCTTAAACTCGTCCTAATATTTATGTGCGAAATTATGGGAAAGTGGGCGAGGAATGCAAATAATTAATAGATTCTATTAAGCAGTGCATGACCTGCATATTTCAACGGTATTGTTTTGCCAGACTAATTGATAAGTTCATGGACAACGGTTGCTCTAAAAATTGTTAAAATCGGATATAAGTTGAGATGTGAACACTAAAAGAGAGCAACATTTTAATACCAATTCAAATGAAATGTATTGGAAATTCCTTTGTCGTTGAATCAGTTCTGTATAAAAAAAAAATATCTAAAGGAAGTGAAATCTCCTTTGCAAGAGGAATTTGGATACTTTTAACATAGTATGGTTTATGGTAAAGCAATTGCGTTTATAAGAGCGCAAATGAATGTCAAGGCGAAGTGAGTTCAAGCGCAGTAATAGCCCTTTCTGCAATTTTTGGTTTTTATACCCTATATTCGAGTATCCGTCTCTTGCGTCTTGAGTCTTGCGTAGAACAGCATTATTTTTCCCTCTTTTTCTTTACTTCTTTCCACAAAACAGGCATTGACAGCAAAATTTTTCTATTGGTTACAAATGTTCTTTCTAAGCCAGCCATAGTAGGTGGCCGACTATTTTCTTATACAATCTTAAAAGTCCTTCCCAAAAAAAGTGAGAAAGACATGGAACGCATGTGCTCTATAGTTCAGTGGGACTTGCTGGAGTAGTCGTAACATTATAAATTTTGGTTTTTTGCAGGCACTATAACCTATGAAAAAAAATAAACCTTCGCGTGGGGGGATGGGTGTTACTAATTAGTATCACATAATTATGTGATAGTTTTTTCCATGGAATGATGACCATGAGTGCTATGAACGTACGCAAATAGTACTTCATAACTCCTTCCTTCTCTACTTATAATCCCTCCTAACGAGGTGACACCCTATTGCCTTTGGATACAATCACAATAGTATATTGCATATAGTATACACAGATAATTGAAATGCGGTAACATCTTCAAAAACCTCCCTTCTAGACCGATATTATATTTATTATTATTATTGTTATTATTATTATTAGTCCATATTAGAAAGAGGGATACTAGTCATTGACACACCCACACTTTGTAATTTTTATGTATTCGCCTAAGACACTCGCCAATGTCAGTTTTTCTTTAGGTTGATCGTTTCTCTTTTTACTTTCGCCTTTACTTATAGGGTGTGTTCCGCGAACTTTTCAATTAGCATAATAATACAATAGCAGAAAGTGGGTTTATGTGTTAATCGACTGCAATTGTAAAAGTAAAAGTTGCTTGAGTTTTTAAAAACTAATACAATTCAAAGCGTCGACTTTCAAAGGCATGCATAGCATACATAGCATGTAGCCCTGCTCTGCTGCAAAGTGAAAAAGTTCCCCATTTACCTAAATTTCATGCATTTGATTATGTTCGTATACATGTGGGAATATGTTGTATATGCGCACAGACCTATCGATGTGGTATGTTTTGTAAAGCCTTGTGATAACACAAGACGTAAGTAATTGATTGTTATTGTTGTAGTTATGATTAATTGATTATCGCTATTAAATAGCAATAATCGCGTGCAATTATTTCTTCATTTGAAGCCTTAAGTTTTTATTTTATTTTGCGCTCTTGTTATTAATGCGATTATAACAAATAATCACACAATGAAAGTTTCTTTTATATATGTCTTGTAAGTAAGCCTTACGTTCGTCGAGGTTATAAATAAGTTTTAATTAATTTAATTAAGCGAAGAATTAAGAAAATAAAGCAATGAAAGTTTGGATCGAGAGGGTTATCAGTTCTTCAAAAAAATTTATAAATGCGAGGTATTGCTCAAGCAAAGGATTCACTTATGTATTTGTTTATGTAATAATCGGCAAGAGATTTAGTGATTGTTGCCTTTGTTCTATCATGGTAATATCTGTATTAAATCTGTGTTTGTATTTGCAAATCGAAACTTGATTACCGCATTTCAACGAAAGGGATCGCTAAGGTTGCGACCTTGAGCAAATTAAAGACGCGGAGAACCAACGGTGTGTTAAAGCTATAGCAGGCACTCGCTGGCCATGCGTATCGAAAGGTACACTCTGCGGAATTGTTTACTCTGCGAAGAAGAGGGCCGCCCAATACTAGCTGCATGACCTCAGAAAGCCGAACTTATTTCGCGTAGTTAAGCAATTTCCCTGAAATGTTTTATCTTCTATTTATTTATTTTTTTTTGAATATCATCCATCACTCAAGGGATGTCTCTGCTCGTCTATCATGGTGATTGTCAAGAAGAAGAGAGGAAAGAGAAAAGAGTAGTGATAGCGGCCGCAGCCTGGTGAGTGTGGGTCCAATCGATAGGTGTTAAGCCTTCACTGACTAAGCACTCACTATAATTACGGTCGCAGAAAACTCTATCGCGCTTGGGATTTGAACTCGCGAACACTGACTTGGTAATCGCGGTTCCCAGACGTATAATATGACCAAAGCGTTATCCCGAATATTACAAATGACAAGACCAGTGTAGCTCTTGACTAGAGTAGAAAAGTTAGTTATTGTGAGCGCTCGCCAGCAGAAAAATCAGTTAACTCAAGACGTTTATTTTCTTCAACTGGATCAATAGCTTGCGTCAGACCGCTTGTACAGCTTTAAAGAAGAAATAAATTTGCAAACTTGAACCTGAAATGCTTAGCTCTAAAATAGACGTAGCTTATGTCAAGCCTTCTCTCAGCATACACTAAACAAAAATCTTTTCTTTTTTTTTCAATTTCTTCAGAAGCAGACCACTTTTTTTAGTCGAAACGTGCATAAGGGTAAGAAAGGCGCGTAACTAATGCCAGTGTATAGCGATACGATGCGTAAGCTCGAACTTTTATCTTTATTAGGTATCATTCTCATCACTCTGTTTACAAGGCATTCAATTACAATAGTTTTAGAACAGAAAGACATTTCCTTTGTAGATATTGAAAAGATATAGAGTGCCTTGCTTTTTTCCTACGTCAATTTACGGAAATTTAAACGGAATATGGAGAAAATCGATAAAATGTGGATAGCGCCGTTGCCTACAGACTCCGCGTACGTGAAAACGTTTCGTTTGCATTATATACAAAATGGAAAAGAAAAGAGTTGGGACGCACTCAAGGTTCACGATAGTGTATCGATTGTAATTTTTAACACAACCCGACAAAAGTTGGTGTTTGTCAAGCAGTTTCGTCCGCTTGTCTATCATTCTATTGTAACAAGCAATGGCGGCGATGTGGCAAATGTAGATCTTGGAAAGTTTCCAATAGAGTTGGGCGTTACTCTTGAAATATGTGCTGGTACCGTAGATAAAGATAAGTCGTGGCGTGAGATTGCCCGTGAAGAGATATTGGAGGAGTGCGGTTATGATGTGCCTGTGGATCAACTTGAAGAAATTTTCTCTTACAGATGCGGCGTAGGTACGCAAGGTTCTAAACAGATTATGTATTATTGCGAAGTGACCGACAATCAGAAAAAGTCTCCTGGCGGTGGAGTTGGCGATGAGATAATCGATGTAGTCGAATATTCTGTGGACGAAGCGCGTGCGATGGTATATCAAAAAGGAAATATTAACGGTCCACCTAGTTTTTTATTAGGAGTCTTGTGGTTTTTAATGAACAAACGCTCAAACAAATAAAGAGATTGTAGCGAGACATTTCCGCAAATGAATAAATCTTTCTTGAGCTTTATATTAATTGTCTTTTTTTTAATGTTAGTGTGTTGTTCGCTGTAGATTTCTTCATTTCAACTTCATTTTTGGTAACAAACCGAAGAGGGGGACATGGAGTTATCGCATCGCCCTCAATATCTAGACTTGGATCAAAAGTTAGTTTGCACGGTTGTTTTTTGATGGTACTTATCTCAGCACTCTTAATAAGCATTAATGTTGAGTAAGGTGTTTGTGTATTTCTACAAAATTTTTAGAATTTTTTTTGTACCTCATTCTTACATTATCTCCTTTTTTCTTTCATTTCCTATTAAGAGGAGTTTATGCGGTTTTGCGGACTTATCGTTAACGTGGCATGTCCTCAAGTTTTTAGCTCCTTTTTTTATTTCCTAGCGAGTGGGACGTGGAAGGATGAGGTTTTGAGCAAAAACAACTTTTTCAAAATAAAATATTGTTGGGACACCAATTAGTGATCTAACGTGAAATGGGATACCCTTGACCTCGAATGACCTTGTGGAAAAACCTTGAAGGCCAATTATTTGATTGTAGTTTTATTGGAAATACCAAAAAAAACTTGTGATTTTTAAAAGGGTTAGAGGATGCAATGGTTTTTTCGTAGCTCGATAAATTTTATTAAATTTCATTATTACCATCATTACAACGTTCTACGTAAAAAGCAAAAAAGAAAACCATTAAACTCTTCTTCTGGAGTGAAGCATCTGCCTTGCATACCAAACGTCGAGAGAGGAAAAGCATTTATTATATGAAAAGTTATCAGCGGCGATCATACACAAGTATTAGCGATGTTCTCGTAATATTTATATTAATTACGATTATATTAACTAAATAAAGAACACGTTAATGATAAGGTTGAAAAGGAAAAGTGAAAAAATATTTACAGACTTGTATACGTTCGTGTAAACGTTTAGATATGACTTACACCTCCACCATTCACTTTATACCTGGCGCGCCTTGAATGTAAGCGAACAACTTGTTTCACGAGTAAAAATCTCTTTATCTAACATGCACTTAATTATTAATAAAACAGCTTTATTAAGCATAATCTCTTCTCTCTCGCTCTATACATCTTTCGAGTTCAGTCGCTCTTTCATAGATCATACTTTCAGATAATCAATCAAGATTACTTAACAAGTTTTTCAAGTACATAAAAACACGAAATGTTATCAAAGAGCAAAAAACGAATAAAAAATGGTGGGAGGGGGGAGGGGGGAGGGGGGGTTAAAGAACGCGATATCATATCAATTTATATATTGTATGTCAATTATTGACTTATTGAAACCGATTTTTTTGTCAAAAAACAACCAACGAATTTCAGCGAATGCTTATAAATGAATGACATTAAAGCATGACAGAACTGATCCGCTGAATAATTAATAAAATATACGGTGGTAGCGGTGGTGGCGGCGGCGGCGGCGTCTATTCCATAATTTGAATTACAAAACATTGTTCTACTGTTCTCTGCTTGCCACCATATAATGCATGTATTCATTAATCATTATTTGTATTATGTTATGTATTCGTATCGTATCGTATCGTGTACTGTATTAGCAGGAAGTGACAGACAGGTTAAAAAAGATTTTTTGTGTCATATGAAATTTTTCTCTCGTTACTAATCAATTATTTTATTTATTCAAAAAGTAACATAAACTTTTGTCAAATTAACAGCAATCGTTTGGCATAACATTTGCTGTTTGTTACATAAATAAATAATTTTTAACTGGAAATGTACGCTGAGTTTATTGTGAAATGTTATGACTTTTAAAAATATAATGCTTGGAAAACTTGTGCGTGGGAGCTTTAACGTAAATACAACAAGAGAATAACTGCATCGACCAATTTGTCCGTTCGTCAAAATGGTAAATATCCGCATTGAAATGCAACTGAGAAGAATTACTCATTAACACTTTTTTTGCTTTATTTCCGAAACTTTTGTTAAATCATCGCACATGAACTCAATGACTCGTAAACCATATATATATATATATATATATATATATATATATATTTATAGTAGTTATGTTGCCTTTGTCATTGCATATGTAACATTCGGAAATGTCCGTAAGATGAAAAACACAACTTGTGCATACGCAATGGACGCGTTCTTTAAGAGCAGCTCGCCTTTCTCAACATACGACCGCAAACACTGTTGTAATTACTTGGAATTTGTAACTGATTTCTATTTGCAATTCAGTGCAAATTTTTGCGAGAATTACTAATAGCTTTGAATGCGATTATTGTGCGGATCGGAAAAATATTAATTTGCTTACTATTTTTAATTTAATTTTTTTAGATTGACGGGTAGGCATATAAGATTCGTCGATTCTGGCGTGTCTTTCCTTTTCTGCCTTTTTCTTTTTTTTTTGTTATTGGATATGTATTTCAAAAGAATTACAAAAAAAAAAAAAAAAAAAAAAAATGGTATTCACTTTGAATGGTTGAATGGAGGAACGTGCTCGTAATATTTGAATCCAGTTTAATTAAGTCTGATATTGAAATAAAAATACGGGTTAAGAGTGTGTTTTGTTTGATTGACTTTTGTCTCGGTTTAAAAAAATTGATGAAAACTTATCAACATTTCGGGCTTTAAAGTGATAGCTTAATGACTATAAATATTCCATTCAATGTTTATTTACTCGTTGTCTTCTTAATAAAAATGTGAAAAGACGAATTCCTTTATAGATTCCAGAAATTGTTTGCAAAAACAAAAAAAAATTGAAATTTCTTTTTCTAGTTGTCATGAAATTAAAACTGAAGACACAAATAAAACAAAATGAAGTAAAAATTTCATACAAATTAGTGTTAATTAAATTTTAATAAATAAGCGAAGAAACAAGTTTTCATTGTCGTGCGTTGTTAATGCTTTTCGTCTTGCAAGTAAATTTAGGTTTATTGTTAACAATTCAAAAGATTTAAGACACAAACTTGTCCATTGTGTTTGTTTTTATTTTTGTTGTATTTGTTTTTTTTTATTAAACGAAATAAAATACATACTAAAACAATTTAGTTTTATTTCGTTTATTTTTCCTCTTGTTGACATGAAATTGAAGGTATACGGTTTGTTTTTTATTTTTTTTTTTATTTTCAGTTCATTTTTATTTTATTTTTCTTCTTCCAGCTACTGTTTCAGTGCATTGTTTTGCAATCCTTTCAAAAAACAAAAAAAATGTTGCAATGAAACGTGTTTAAATTCATTACACTCTACCTCATCATTATTCTTTCAAATGAAAGTTTACCTCACTCAACTCACTCAACGTAGTTAGATAAACGAAACGGCAAACACTATTGCAATATTGTAAATCTAACAAATAACAATATATTGCCTTAAACTAAAATTCAAATGTAAATAAATTTTTTCAAGCACTCTTACATAAACTTCACTTCCCCTTCCCTTTCCTCTTAACTTAATAGAGTTAAACAGCAGCTTTCCGACTCTTGAAAAATAGAATAAGGCTTTTAAACTCCTATGCGATGGAAACGGTTTCGTACTCTCATTTGACCAATAAATTAGGCAACATTTTACTATTGTTTGCCTGAGAACTTAAAGAAAAAAAAAAAAAAAAAACAACAACAACAACAATAATAATAATAACAACAAAACATTATTACCGCTTCAATTTAACCAACAGTGTATGAGTACGTGCTAAAAATACCAGTGGGAGCAGCCTAAGAAAGCTGGCATTACATTCATATGACTCGAGCCATGTGTCAAATGCATGTTCATTCATATAAAAATGTGTACGTGTGTTTATGCACTTACACGAGCACATAAAGTGCAAAACGTTTTAACCGATTTAGAGTGTGGCAAAGTTTCATTACATGACCAGTTATTTTAATTGTTAACAAATTTCAAATCGATTGTAATCTCTAGAGTTGCCATAAGTGAGTTTTGTTTTTTTTTTTTTCTTCTCGAATTGTTCAAGCATTCCTTACGTCGCGTATATGAAGAAGTTTGAAAGAAATCGAATAATTCTGTGCACTTTTGCTAGTCACCTCAATATTATTATCCGAAGAGGCGATGCAGATAAGCCCTGACTAGCTTGGCGAAATAATTCTATTCTCTGGCAATTAAATCGCGCAATCGATCAACTCATTCGACTATATATAGATTGTTCATTTAGTTAAGTGAATATGGAAATACGAAAGGAATGACTTAAGGCTTATGGCAGCTGAGTTGTATAATCCATTGTGAACAGAAATATTTCCGAATCCTGGTTGAATGTTTCGCCCTCACTTACAATCTACGATTTGCCTTAGATGCAATCAAGGAAAATGCTAACGCACGACTACGTATTGCTAGACACAAGGAAGGCTTACCTTCGCTACTGTTACTAGCCGTTGAGAAAATTATCAATAGATCAATCATTTTATTAGAGTAACATACACAGGATATACACATACACAAGAATTGGATTAATATAGAGGCATACACATATGTATTTTTCTTTCGGAATCGAAGGTATTACAACTCACTGATATTCGTAGCTGACAAGTTGGCGTTTACGGTTTTCACATCTTGACGGACCAGTTATGAAGAAGACTAAGAGAATATCGACCTAATTTTCCTTCTATTCTTTTACCCATCACCGAAGGATGAGAGGTACATTCAATTCGTCAAAATGTTTTCAACTATAGAAGAAAGTCTCAGAGTGCATAAACTCTTCATTAGCAAGAAAATTCTGAATCGATTTAGGTGCGTCCGTTTGTCTGGGTAATGTCTGGCACAAAGATTGAAAGTTCTTGAGCCAAATCGATTGAAGGACAGGACCACAGTGCAGCATAATCTGAGAAAATCTCTGTTTTCTGCTCGTTGCTCACAAACTACGATAGACGATTTATATTCTATGGGTGGTACTGCGACCTTGCCTACTATTATAGAGTAATGAAGTTTCATTCTTTTTATCAAAACCTTTGCTGCAGCCAGAAAGAGGCTTCAGCAACCATACAAAGTCTACATACTATTGATCGGTATTAAGCGGTGATGAGTGTAAAAGACTTTGTCGCGACCGAAAATAATTTTCTTACTTATTAAGGTTTGCTTTGTTTCGTTTCATAAACGAGAACGCAAAAGCATAGCTTACGCACCATTACCTCTGAGACTATTAGAGTACTTTTAAGTTCTAATCTTCTACGAGACAACTGGAATGCTGGGAGACACCGTTCTTGGTACTTTTGTCCAAGAACAGATTGTGCGATTAAAGAACGATAAGTCGCGTTACTCTGTCGTGCAAAAGATAGGTGCATCCAGCGCTCGTAAACGAGAATGCTGAGAACGTTGCCTAGATAAAGCATTTGATTAAAGAACCCGGCCAGGAGTGCTAAGCATTTTGCATACTCTTATCGTCCCTGAGCATTTAAACCTTTCATAATACACGCCCGAGGATCGACAGTCTCCAGTTAAAATTCGATTAAACCCTCATTTGTAATGTGTCTATAATGCGTATCTATACAAGCCATAAAGAAGAAACGTAGTGATCAGCTCTACACTCGTTCGCTGTCGATGATATTTAATGCTTGCTCTAACTTACCTGAGGTCATGATTTCGTAGAAAGGCCCAAGACTTGCGGGAAATTACGGTTTTTTGCAAGATCATTTTCTGAAACGAATTCAAAAGAAAAAAATTGTTATTGAATTATCTACCTAAGGTTAGAATAAAACGCATTTGTTCGCGTCAACTATTCATCTAAGAATTTCTGATTAAAGCTATGAGTTAATCCACTGAGCTAATATTTAATATAATTTGCAATTATGCTTAAGTCTTAATTATTTAATTTCAAATTTGTAGCAATTTTCATGGTTTTCTGTATGTTCTTGAAAATCGTCTTGCATATGAAATATGGAATTATTGAGAGAAGAAATAAATATTTACACTTCAAATGTCATAGGAAACGTAAGAACGTGACCATGTGCATAATTCATGCAATTAATTGCATTTTTAATGACATTGAGATAAGCATAACAATTCTACGCCATTGGAAACAATTTGATATACTAAAGATTACAATATCGGAAACTAATTTTCTTAAGATAAAGTTTTTTCCATCCAATGAATAGTTTTTCCAATACTGCCCAATGGCACATCGCTAACCGCTAACCGCTTCATTCCTAGCTGAACTGTATCTGAGTTAATTGTCACCAGAAGACCATATTACAAAAAAGGAGGAACGCGATGCTGTATAGCACGATAAGATAAGATGAACGTGTTTTGTCGTTTGCTACTTGCCATAGTCTTCTGCAAGCGACATTATCTCAGTTTGCGAACCTTTGGAGATCAGTAAGGGTTACATAAACCAGGAGTTAAACATTTCTTAATAGAAGAATTGCGCTAATTGCTACTTGTCTCTCGGCGTATATTCCTCACCTCTCCATACTCTTTACTTGCAAATCTCCCGCATCTCATCCTCACATCGCGTTGCGGTGAAAAATTGTTTCAATTTTTTTAAATGCCTTGCAAGTTGTTTCACTGACATAATAGATATTTCCAATAGATTCCCATGATATAAGGGAAACAAGGCTGCATTGTGGATAGGCGTTAACTTTTCCAGATTTTACTATGAGCGATTTGTGTCAACATATCCGCTCATAGGCATATGTTAGAAAAACATGTCACATAAATCTATACAAGATTTAAAAATAAAATATTTTCACAAAAGGTTTGCTATCATATTTAACTTTCATGATCACGATCTCGTGCTCCTGCATCTTGAGCTCACTTTGAAAATTAAAGAGGCTACGTTCGGGCATTCAACAACGCACATTCATTTCATTAAACTGTTTGCAGCAACATGGAGAAGAAAGCTTCGGTATCTCCGTAAAATTCTGATATAACTTACGTATGTCTGTCCGTCTGTCTGTTAAATACCCGTTTTAAATTTGGCGCAAATATTACAAGGTCTTCTATATAGATTGCTATTGAAAATCAGCCAAACGATATAATATCTCTCTCCTTTTTTTTTTTAAAGGTAAGGTATACAAGATTCGATCACAGCTGAATATAATTGTCTCATTTGCTGTTTTTTTTTTGTAAATCCAGTAATCATTTTATTTAAATTACTTTCATTTTTATTCAATTATTACAAAAAGTACCGTAATTTCATATTTTGCGGACAGCTCTAATATGCATTTTTTTTTTATTTATGCATATTCATGTGAACAAAAATGAATTATTGATTTCATATACATACTATGTATGTCCACGTATGTAATTTTATTATTAATTTAATAATGAAACTGAAATGAAATTTGTAATAGTTACCATATCCGGCAACACACACACACACACACACATACAAACACATACACGGACAGACGGACAACCATTGTAGTACAAGTTACTGCTCCCCTAAATATTAAAAAAAAAGAGTAAAAAAAGTCGAATAAATTGTTCTAAATTCGAACAGCAGTCTCTGTGGTTTATGTTTTATGTCAATCGCATGTGTACGATGTGCTGCCCGTTGCCTGTATGCAAAATGCATAAAACGACAAACACTATCTTGCGCATGACACTGAACTGCAACTAATAACTCAACTAAGAACTAACAACAAAGTATAGTATGTATGGTGTTTAAAATTAAATGCAATAGGTGAGTGGGCGTGTTATTTAGATCATATTTATTAGATTTTTTTGTAACAATAACTTAAAAAAAAAAAAAAAAAACGAAGTAAAACACTTTTAAAGCAATTGTCATTGCTATAGTCACTAGTTACGCTAATAATAGAGTTGTTTATATGGGTAATGGTGCTGTTGATGGCAGACATGTGGCCAGGTTGTTTTTCTTTTTTTTTGTATTGTATATTTTTTTTTATTGCTATTCTGCTATGTGTAATTACTGATGTACATATTCGACCACCTTCGCGCCTCAGCTTAAATTACTAAACAGATGACTGATGAAAATCATCTGAGATCTCAAATCACTCTATGATTAGTAAGTAAGTGTTTGCACTTGTGTTCCTTTTTTTTTTTTTTTTATTATTTATTTCTACATATATAAATAATTTGTTTTTTTTTTTTTGTTTTCTGTAGCATTTTTTCAGTGCATGTCAGTTTCCGAAACAATAAGAAGCTAAAGTCATGTGTGGTTAACAGATGGGCAAATGTACTCCACATGGTCATTAGGTTGTGACAATTATGTCATGTCCATTTAGCGGGTTAACATTGACATAAAATCACTGAAAACGTTTATTCATACAATTAATGCAAACAACAATAGACGGAGATTTTATGTCTTAAACATCAGTTTAAAACATTAGCCACACAACGACAACGACAACGACAACAACAAACAACGGCGATGCAAAATGTGTACCATATAATGTGTATCAAATTACATAAACATTGTTTCAAACAGTAGCTAACTACTTTTTGATAACCAATTTTTGAATTGAATTTGAAATAAACGCCTTCCGAATCATGGTAAGCGTAAGCGATTAGGGAAGAAAGAGAAATGAAAATAAAAAGGACTAAAAGGTAATGCTAAAGTCTAATCAGTCATACCGAGATAAATGAGAATTCAATGATTCACACAGTTACAAGCAGTTTGCATTCACTTCTTAACCAATAAATGTCATTCGTATGACATGAACTGACATCTTGTGGTAAAAGTTCTTAGAACTTCAACTTCAACGTTTAGATTTTGCAAATTTTTTTTAAATGCCAGACAATCAAACAGCTCATGATCCACATTTTCCCATAAAACTGATTGAATAAAAGCAAAAAGAAAAACAACAACAAAATATCCATAACAAACGCATAAATCGTTATGACTGAGTTGCGGTGACGAAATGCGGGAATAACTTATAGAAACTTAATTATGAAATGCAAATGCCAATAATAACTGTCGCCTTTTTTGCAAACGCTTTTCAGATGTTGGCGCGAACACCACTCAGTGACACGAGGCCATTTAGAGGGGAAACAGGTTCGAGCAGTGATCTCATTGCAGGCAATGAGTTTCTTAAATTATTTCTAGAACGAGATGAACTGCAAAGAGATTTGTATAGCAGTGAATATGTCGGCAGCAGGGGTGGTGGTGGTGGTGGTGGAGGTGGAAGTGTAACATCAGCAAGTGGAACAGAGAGAGGAAGCGGAGACTCGTCAGATCTAGTTGTTGCTGACAGTGCACCAGCTGAGAGTGTGCCAGTGGAGAACGTGAAAAGAAGTGCGAACAGCCGTAGCTTAAGAGAGAAAGGATCGAAAGGTCATCAGGCTTTAACATCGTCACATGAAGAGGACGGTAAACAAGTAGTAAAATTGGTAACGACAGGTAGTAAAATCGTTTTCCTGGAGGATTACGATGAAAATGATGCCATTCTCGATGCTGAAGTAAGAGAAATAGACTTGAAAAAAGAGAAGCCCACCCTAAGGAAGAACATCAGTAGAACAACAAATTTGGATGATTTTAAGGTGTTAGCTGTAAGTGTTTCTTCATCCAGTCAACGTGCCAGTTCCTCAACTAATAATCGCAGGAAACACGAAAGACCCCAGCTAACGACATCAGCTGCATTAGCGACTAGAACGTTAACCTCGACCACAACCGAAGCGCCATCAAAAGTAGACTTAACTTCGGGTGATAACTTCATTAATCGCTCGCATAAAAGCGAATTATCTATTGATGAGGTGGAGCCATTTACCAGCAAACACAAGGCAAGACGACCAATACGTCCGCAAGTTTCGGCAAAGAATAAAAACACATCTGGCCGCCCGCATACAATAGACTCTGAGAATAGTGCATCAACGAATGTCCAGAATGTGCTAGCAATACCATTACAAGCAGCATCTTCTTTACGCTCTAACCAATATCATAATGATGGTCAACATAATGCAACAACAATTTCGAACCATGAAACGAATTCATCCAAATCATCGGCACATGCCGGTGTTGACGATCAACTACTGCCATTCCAAACAGTGATTTATCATGACAACAAAGAGGGTCACGGTCCGCAATCGCGTTCCATTTCCTATTCTTCAATATCACAGAACATACAAGATTTACAAAAATGGCAGCATACCGGCATTTTAGCAGAAGCGCGTCGCAACGTTAGCGAGAGTCTAAAACCTTTGACTCACATTCATCAGCCGGAGCCGGCCAAATTTTATTCGCAACCATCACAAATGTATAGCGTGCCAGCAAAATTCTATTCGGAACCAGCCAAGATTTACTCGGAACCATCCAAAATGTATGGGGAGCCTGAGAAATTTTATTCTGAGCCTGCTAAAGTATACGGAGAACCTTCGAAGTTTTATAGCGAACCTTCAAAAGTTTACTCACAGCCGGCTAAAGTTTATAGTGAGCCAGCAAAAACCTATTGGCCTCCCACACCAACTGACTCATCAACAACTACAACGTTGGCAACACCAGCAGCAAATTCGTTATTTGCAACAAGTACCACTCCTCGCAATGGCCTTTTTACATCTTCACGTAGACCTGCCATTGTGTCGCGTATCGCTTTCGGTGAAGCACAAAATGCATTGACCTCGTCAACGGCATCAACGTTAACAGCGATGACAACAACAGCCATCGGGTCTTTATCAACTAGTACGGCCAAGTCTTTTGGCACATATCACCAACGCAACTTTGGCCATCGTCATTTCTCATCAAGTGGTAACAATGCAAATTCCTCACCTACGTCGACTCAACGTCGCATACCGTTATTTAATCTAGATAAGCTACCTTACGATGTATTAAATGCACCGAAACCATCAACAACGCAGCAACAAGAACATGAACAACTACTTGCAAATAATTATCAACAAAAACAACAGCAACAGCAATCGCGTTCACATATTAATCCATGTTTAGAGTCGGCAGTTTCCACATTATTTTCAACATCATCTTTATCGGCTCATGTACCGATACAACAGCAGCAGCAGCATTCGTCATTGTCGGATCAGCATTCTAATCAAAATGCCAAAGGATTGCCTAATGGAGGTAAGTTACATATTGAACTTTAAAGATTTGTGTTCTGGATTTTCTTGCTTTCAATTATTGTTCGCAACTAATAATTCTAGGATCGATTTGTGTTTACGTGCAAAAGATGACGAGAAATGCACATAGGGGGTAAGGTTAGGGAAAGTTGATAATGTTTTGATAGCAAGCAGTAAGCTGTAACATGTGTAAAGCGGCTAACTGTCTTCACAATCACTGATCATAATTACGTTAAAAAGATTTTCTACAAAAATCTTCTACTTCGGATGAATGTTATGCGTTTCTGATGCGTTCAGTCGATAGATGTTTTGAGCGATCGCCTTACCGCGCTAAGCTTACAGAGACAGCGGAGTGCTATAAACCACTTTGAAAGGAAAATTCCTAAAGGAGATACTTGTAACTGTATCCAATTACCCTTAGTACGAGATGTACGCTGTCCGTGCACACGTATGTGTAACACCGCAAGAAATTTTCGACAAATTCACTTTTTATTATACCGTTTATCTGTGTTCTCGTCCGATGTCTATTCTGTGTTCAACTTATAATTCGCAGTTTGTACTGCGTTTTCATCCAAGGACGAACGCTATTAAAAATGGTTCGACTCGGTCCACTTTTTCGACCACTTACCATATAACGCCTTCTTCTAAAAAGTCGTTATATGGAAAAAAATGGCAGTTTTCAAAAATTTCTCAGCAAGAGAGGCTAAGTAGTAGCATTTGGGCGCTCTAAATTGGTATGGAAGCTTTGGACCAACTGAGGCTATTTTTGAACCCCCTCATATACCGAAAACTGAAGTTCACACGACAAAAAGGTATAATTTTCAATGCTTCGTGAAGAAAGTTATAGTCATAGTAGTAATTTAACGTAAAAAAATTTGAAGCTTCTCGGCCTATTTTTAAGATCCTACCCTAATAAAGTTTTTTACGAAAATTGACCTTCTTTAAAGCAAAAAAGTCTAAATTTTAGTATGTGGTGATGAAAATTGACCCCATAATTTTGTAGTAATTTCCCACAAATATGAGCTCTACGAAATTTGGACCATCTACGACTATTTTTACATCCTGCCCTACGTAATGGTTAAACTTGCACTACATTAGGTTGCGTTTTGCGTCCACTTCCTCACAAATATGCACATGAAATGTGGTGTAGGGTATTTAATGGTCGGCATAGCCCGACTATAATGATCTTACTTGTTCTTGTTGTGTTTGCGACATATTTGTAAGATTACGAAATATAAATGCAACGTAGAAGTCACAGAATGTATGTGTGTGACTTATACAGAGATCCACAAATTTTTGTTGAAGAAGTTGTATTCATAGAGCTTGCACTTTCGTCCATTAACTTAATATAAACACATTTATGTTTGCAATAAAATGTAATGGTTCACCAAATGTTGTGTCATTCATAAACTTTATCAATATTATGTCTATGTGTTTCTCATCAGTGATGTGACCTTTTCAATGCTAAATGAATTATAGATGTTTTCTGTCATAAAGAATGACAAACAATTTTTGATCGGTTAACATATCGGTTTCATAAAAAATTGTAATAATGTCTCTTAACTAAAATCATAGACTGCGTTATTCCTGCTGCATTTAACTAAAGTTAAGTAAATATCACCAAAAAAAAAAAATTTAACTGCCACTTATTTGGAAATGCATTGTAGTCGTCGTACGTACGTGCATTCAGTCAGCTATCTGTAGCATGTACAGCGAGCGATAGCATTAATAAACTGTCAGTTGCAATTAAATGTACACATAAGCGAGGAGATCTCCTCGTGACATTAATTTACAAAGAAAAATTTAACACATTTATTTTTCGTTACATCTTCCAACATGTTTTTCCGCAGATCTAGTCAAGTGTGTTGCCGAAATTTCCCATACAACATTAGTAACAACTGAAGCAACACTGCCGCATCACTTCACTACCGAACGCACACCACACAACGAAGATTTGTATGCAGCGACACCCGAGCAGAATTACGAAATTGAAGAGTCCGTGAGTGTAATGACGAACGGACGAGCCCATGGTGTACAAAGAGATGGCAGCGTAATTGGTGTTGGTACTGGGACTAATGATGATGGCAGCCGTGGTTCAGCAACAGCAACCATTGCACCAACAACTAGACATAGCTTTAAACCTATGAGGCAACGCGTTCGCTTCGGTACAAATATCAGAGATGACGATGACGAGGCGGAGGTAAGAGGGGCAGGTATGCCAACGTTAACAACAGCAACTGGTAGACGTGGGCATTTAAGTCAATCTTATGACGCCAACGCAAATGCCAAAACAAACGCTGCACATAGTAATGCCAGTCCAAGCTATAAACATAATGCTGATGATGGCAGAGCTAACGATGAGACCGACAATACCGAGCTGGTGGAAAGTTATGATGATTACAGTGATGTAGTAGATGAGGGCGATGTCGGCGTCGGTGGCGGTAGCGACGTTCTTAAAACTAACAATCGACATAATAGCTACAACAACAACAATAATAATAACTATAGAGGAGGGTTAAATGCAGGCTCACAAGCTGAGCAAAATGAAAATGATGATGCTAAAGTTGCTTATGTGGTCGAGGGACGCAATTATCGTAAATATCGTGTTGAGGAGAAGACGGACGACGGTTTCATTGTTGGCGAGTACGGAGTGGTCGATCATAATGATGGCAATTTGCGCGGTGTACGTTATACGGCTGACTCGACCATTAATCGCAGTTTAATACAAAAAGCATTGTTGACATTTTTGAAATTGAAATAGAATCGCAAAAGAGAAAAAGTGAAAAATAGAAAACAATGGCCAGTTAGTGCTTAGGTTGTTTGGTTTTTTTTTTTTTTTTTTTTTTTTTTTTTCATTTTCTTGTTTGCTTTAAGCATTATTGTGATGATTCTTCCTACATAGAGCGGGAAATATTTTGGCAAAGTATTTATTATAAAAATTGCGTTTTACTAGCAACATTTACTAAATAAAAAAAATAATAAATAAATAAATAAACAAATATATAAATGACAAAGCCAACGTTGAGCAAATCATTAACAAACCAACCAATAAATATATGTGATCCAAGTCTTAATGTAGCTAAAGTTAATTCATATATTCATAGATGATATGCATTGCTTGTGTATTGTGTTTAGTAATAATAAATAAATATTTTTTTCCTCGTTATCTCTCCTCTCTCTCTTTCTTAATGCCACCCTGTGTATGTGTGTGTCTCTTCTTTAGTTTATATGTTATTATTAGCTTATGCTTCGGACCATTACTGTGTTTACATTATATAAGTATGAATACATGAATTTATGTTTTTTACTATATATATATATATAATATATATATGTGTATGTGTCTACACGTATCTAATCGATTTCTTAGCCTAATCGTATTAGAGTAATAAAACAAACAGTCGCATGCTTTGCACTGCAATAGTCTTTTTTTTTTCTAGAGATTGTATATATATATATATATATATATATATATATTTATACATTTGTCTCTACATGCTTACTTGTATGTACTTGCATTCTCTTCATTATTTATTATATAGTTATTGCATACAGTATTCTCTTTCTCTCTCTATCACTGTCTATTATTAATCGCTCTGTCTTTGTCGTTTTCTGTATGTGTATTCAGTTATGTTTATATTGTTATTTTAATTTATTTACTTACAATTAATACAACTAGTATTTGGTGTTCAAGTACCGCGCGCAGTGATTCTTACAAATGATGAAAATTACACACTTGCCATAAATATTCATTGAATAGCCTCCAGCATGGGAATGTATATGTTTGTAACTTTGTATAATATGTAAACGTATATCTTACGATTACTTATATGTATGTTATAACTATATTTACAACATATACTCAGCTAAGCTATTACAATTATAACATTGAAGTAAAGAGTAATTTTAACCACATAGATGTATAAAATGTTTTCTTTCTACAACTTTAATAAATTAAGAAATTTAATCATATTTAATTACCGTATAGTCCTTATTCAGAATTATTAGATATACAATTGCAATCCCTATCTTTATAGAAAAATCGAGAGATTATTAGTTTTATCTATGCTTAGGCTAAGTTTTACGTCTATCTAGTGCGTCTTGTCTTGTCTGTTCAATCAATAAACTTATGATTAATTCATCATAATGGGGTCACAAATGAATTTAAATAAATTAATTTTTATCTATCTACTCTATTTATACGCATTGAACGTTTAATCTACAAGAGTTCTTCTTCTCTTGCATTCACTGGGCAAATATCAGATGAGGATTGTATGATATGTAACGGGAATAATTGCATTCTAATCAGTTAACTTTCAGTTTATAAATGGAACAATTGCATAACATCATGTCATAAAAATTCACCAATTTATTCTGAACGTTCGTTTACCGTAAGCTGAGCGTCCGTTATCCTTTAGAGTAAGAGAAAGAACAATCGCCCGGGCAAAGGTTACGTCCTGAGATTCTTTATGGCACTTGATCTTTTGAATACTTCGAAACTCGCTGTGTCACACTGCTTATTATGTGACGGATTTCTGAGAGAACACACACATTTCACATTTGTGGATTGCGCGCAGGCGATTGTACTTTTTTTACTCGTTTTTTATTTTATATATGTAGAAGTTGCTTTAGCTCAGCGATTTGCTTTTCTCTACAAAGAATTTAAATTGGTCGAAAATTATTTTACTTTTCCGAAGTCTTATAAGGCACATATTGACATTGACATTGAAAAGCCTAGAATTCAGTTTTAATTGTTGTAAAATAAATATTTCATAGAGACAGAGAAAAAGATCTACGTGCCGCCACCGTCTTATGGTATTTCATTTAATTTTTAAACTCTTTCCCTGTTACTCCCTATCGTCATGCACCCTAAAATTTCTTAAATAGTAATGTTTTGGCCATTATTTGCACTGTAAGTACACATAAAAAGATATGTAAAAATAAATTATGTATCAACCAACCTATGTATAAATAAATAAATATTTGTTCCTTACTGTAGAAAGCCTAAATTATATTAGATATGTTTTATATTTACTATTAAGTTGTACAACATTGTGACATTAAAACGATTATTGAGACATCAACTTGGTTTCACTCATACATACATATATATATATATATATATCTATCGTTTAATCGTCGATTATGTCAGCCAGCACAAGGCATAAGAGCATAAGAAATAGCAATAGAAAATATGTCAAACTCTAGTTTTTCAACTATAATGAAATTCTTGCTTCGCTAGTTGAAACTAGAATTAAATGTGTTTCTTAAAACACTTATTATATTATTTGATTATCAAACTGAAAAAATACTTTAACTAGAAAAGTGCACTTATACACCATTAGTTAGTTAAGCTCTGTTATCCCATAGAATTGCATTCTTTTCCGATGATCTAATAACATTTCTTTATTATGCGCAATTAATATTTTATGTTAGAAAAAATTTTAAATATATATATATATATATATATATATAAATTATTCTAATCGCGATACATTTTAAGTCTAGTTTTCCTTTCCAAGTCCAAGTCCAATTTCTCTTTCTTTTCGCAATCGTAAACTTCACTTTAAATACTAAATATGTAAATAGCACACACTAATGAAATTAATATAAATAAAGTCAATAATTAGTTAAGAATTTAATGAGATAATTCTGTAGTAAAAGATGTATGTATGTAATAAAAGATAATCCATTGAAATTGCATCAATTGCAACATAATTTATATTAAATAATAAAAAATAAAAATTCGTAAAACTAAAAACCATTTTCTTGTTTCTTCATCAAACGGCTATAAATCATTTCAAGATACCATAATGAACTATGAACTTTGCTCATAAATACATTTTATACTTTGTGAATGCGCAAATAAGCACCTTGAGGAGCAATTTTCATATCGACTATCGCAACAGCGAATGTACAATTGTCTCTGAGGCTTTAAGTAGTGGGTACACTACCTTCAAGATTAACCCCCACGATGCCCGATGGCAAATGGGTTAATATGGGCGTTTAACCGCCGCCCTCCAGAATGTTAGACAATCCCTATAAGCTAGGATCTAAACTACGCTGGAGAAACCATTGTGTATGGCCTAATAAACCCTCTCTGTGGAGTGTTGAGGCCTATCATTACCTATCCAACTATTCACTTCAGGAATGATGGAAACCACAACTACCACGATACTTCAGAAGGGTGGTACCCAGCAGTCAGGACTCGCACATTGGTTAACTGCTACGTTCAAACTGGGGATTGGTTTCTACATATATGTAAGTATGCAAGCTTCCCCCTGAAGAATCTTGGCAAGCGCTAATCTGTAGTACACCTATTTTCACTTCTACCCGCAGGTACTTCTAATTTGCCAGTGGGCTCCTGACCCCCGCTAGACTATATAGTCTTTAGCCTTACTTTACCCGACATAGTCACTCTTGCCTTCGGATTAACCATACAATCCCGACTAGCCAACACTAGCCAGACTAACCTTCTTCAAGATATATTAACATGGCGGGCGGGAACCGTAGCGAATGTACACTAGATTCCTTATTGCATTTGTAACGCGTAACGTAATAATACAGTCTAGCCAGTCAAAGTTGATTTAGTGACATGCGTCATTGTCCAGCCGATCAGAACTTTAAAAAAGAAAAATAAATAACACTTGGCACGTATATAAGTACCAAGTTCTAATTGAAAGACCAAACTAACTAATGCTACACAAACACATTGGCTTTCAAAGTCGCAGATGATCACTCGTGAATCTGCAAATATGGCCTGGTACGGCTTAGATTTAATTCTAATAACTTTTAGCAGACAACACGTTGTTCAACTGGCCTGCTGGCCTGTTTTGCCGGCAGTACCATACAAGAGAGTTCACGAATGAATGGACTGCTGTGACGATTCACTTCAGGATATCGAACAGTTAACGGCGATAGTGGCGAACGGAAAATTGTTGAGTAATAGAAGACGCACACAGACTGGACTGGATATATAGACGACATGGAAGAAATATCTTGAATATTAAGTGTAAAATAATTGCTCCGAACGTTGAGTAATCGATGCTAGCCTAGTCCAGTTACAAACACACTTGTATGGAGAGTATTAATCATTGCGTCCCATTCACCTCTTCAGAGATTGCTGTACGTAATTGTATTGCCTTATATATTCTGAATACTGAGGATAGCCCTGGGAAAATCCGAAATGAAAGAAAATACAGAAAAAAAAGAAAAGTTAATTTCCAATTTACTCTTGGAGCAGCTCGATATACTTTTGGCAGCGACATTGAACAGCGTGTACCCTGCTTGTAGTGCGAATGGCTGAATGCTTCAAAATAGCTACCAGTTGCAGCTTCAACGGGCGCATTATTGGTGAAGCTTTTATCACCGAGCCATTTCTTTAAGCTCAGAAAGAAAGAAGAAGCACAAATTTGTTATGTCCAGTACTGCTAACTTATTCACTTTCAATCGATGGTTAACCATTACCTAGTTAACTAATAACTAGACATAAGCCCACCTCACGAGCTTATAAAAACAATAATAATAAATTCTGAATATTCCAACGATCAGACTTTTCCAGAGTTCAATAATATAGAGGCATTAGCTTAACAGTGAATCTGGGCATTGCAATTGCGATGACACACGTATAGATGCACTTCTTTTATAGGTTAACTTTAAAATTTATGGTAAACGTGTGCTTATAGATGTGTACATGTAATGGAATATTTTTGGGTTAATTATTGTTTTCTTATTGTTTTCTAGAACCAAATTGCTTAAGAGACCATTAAGCGCAAGGCAAACACACTAGCAAAAGTTACAAATTATTATTTGCTACGACTTCTGGAATCTCTACTATTTTACAAAAAAAAAAAAAAAGATGCGAAAGATATCTCTTGCGAATTCTTTAAGTAAGACAACAACGGAGAATTTTTGGTCAAAATAAGTCGTCTGTTGAAAGTTTTGCGTTTAAAACGTTGCTTAAACTTAATATATGAGAAGGAAAAAAAAAAAAGAAGAAAAACAAATCTTTATTGGTGAGTATTTAAACAAAATAAGAAAACGAAAAAAAAAAAAAAAAAAAAAAAGAGCACAAAATTTGAAAGTATATTAAAGCTAGAGTGTGGAGTAAAATAAAATCAAATCACGACGGTACGACGCCAAATATAACTTTATAGCCTTAAGCAAGGTCGTACAGCGACCTTCGCAGTGACGATACGAGTGCATTAAAAGAATCTCAACTCAAATATGCTGTTATTTGCGGTTGTATTGCTTGTATCGTATTGGTTGCGCTCTTAGTGCCGTTAATTCTTAATGCCTTGAGTATAGTTTTACATTTTACAGTTTCTAGTATTGATGGCAGTAGTGATGATGTTCGGATACCGATGTTCTCTGTTCTAAAAAGTAATGATTTCTTCTTCTCGTTTCACAGTTTATTTCTTCTTCTTCTTATTATTATTATTATTATCTTTTTCTTTTTTTTTTTCTTCTTCTCGCTACTCGTTTTAAGATTTTCTCATTACTTCGTTCGTAATGTTGAACTTTGTTCTGCTTTTATAATTTTATAATAATTTTAGTTCTCGTTTGTTCTTTTAATTTAGTAAACGATCCGTTTAATAAACCAGCGATTGTTACATTGTTCTTTACGATGCCTCTTTTAAATATGCACGCAGTTATGCACTTTTCAACATATGCCAAACGTATAACGTATAACGATGTCAAAAATATCCCAGCAAGTTTGCAAACCATAACTGATTCGATTGTTATGTGATACATTTTGGAAAACATAAAACTTCATTCCGACAATGTTGAAATGATAATCATCTTTCGAGTCATCAAAGATGCTTGCTTCTTTGATCAATGCCGACCAATTTTTATAATTAGCTTCATCTCTCTCTTGCACGCTTATTCAACTTGACCGTTAATTCACACATTCCGCGCTAGTACGGCGCATGCAAAGGTTTAGTGGATTGCGACATGTTTAGGGGAACAAGTGTCGAGTTAAAATTTTCATGCTTTTCTTTGTCTACCAATGACAGTAATAATGTTTAGCAGAACCGACCCAAATGCATATTAAACTCCGATGCCAATTTAATTGAATGATAAGAAGGATCAATTCTACTCGTGGCCAAACATTCCCTATTGTGATTATTTATTTGTTACAAAAAAAAAAAAAAAACAAAAAAAACGCATTTTATTGCTTTCTGTTTCTATTCTCAAATCCAATGGCCAACAGTACATGGTTGCTATTTTCTTCGACAATAAATACCTTTCCAGACGTTTACCATACGCAAGTGACTTATAATCACGCCTATTATATTTAACTTTGGTTTAAGCGAAACTTTATTAGCCTTGGGAAAGTTGTGGCAAAAATGATGCCTTAAGATTAGGGAACTAAACCCTGAATATTAACTTGTGAAGAGATCGCGCTGACATTCGTAATTACATAACAAGATTATTCTCCACTAGGGTCAAGTATTCTCTAGCGAGGGGAAAATCCATTACACAAAACCAAATGTTTGCTTAAAGAAAGGTCACAAGACAATGTAAAGCGAAGCGAAACGTGATCACGTAAACTAATAGGTGTTGGTGGCCATGTAGCCAGTGTTGAGCGGCCTCTGAACAATGAACAATTCCAACTCTAACCCTTTGCCACGCCTTGGATGTGTAAACGTCGCCGTTATCGCTATTGATGTAAAGGATGGCATAAGTACTTCAGAGGAAAGTTCAAAAAGTTATCACAATAATGCTGATGAACGGCGAACTGACATACCTACAATTAAGAAACACAGTGTCAAGGGTTTAATCCAAGCGCGAATATAATTTTTAATTTGTTTATCTTTCGTCTTTTAATTTTCAATTGTTGTTGCTTTTGAGCTACGAGCAGAAATAATGTTATGGAAAAGTGTTTGCGAGAATCGTCCGCGCTAACGTATTCTAGTATAAGACGTTGGCCTATGTATGTACGAAGATGAAGTAAGTAATGAACAGCGTTTAGGTACTCTTGCTACCACATATATGAGAGATATAGTAATTCTCCAACAAATATCGCTACTACCAGAGGTATTAAAGATATCTGATATTGAGGATATTGGACCAAAACAAAATGTTTGTTCGTTTTTATTCTAAAACAAGAGGAGAGGCTTACAATTATAGACCAAAGGAACTCGCAATGGATTAGTGCTAGTAGCCATCAAGGCGGAATATGGTATAATTGGTCCGCGATAAAGCTAAACCTTTTTTTAGTTCAAAGGAGAAGAAAAAAAGTGCAGGAACGCAATGGAACTCAAGGTCTTGTCAAGATTCATATAAATAGAACAAAGCAGCACAATTAAACAAATGTTAAAATCGGGGACTATAGGACTTCTAACAATATTTGGAACTCTCTATGGCTTGGATCTTTTTGACGAATATTAATCTTTCTCGTGATAGTGAATTCTTCGATTCTTTTTCGCCATGGTCATCTTTTAGGGTTGTAACGCCATTACATTTCAATTACTTAGAATATTCCATCTTTGTTAAGTTTTGCTCGATTCAGCTCGGAATCACACAAAATAGTTGTTGAATGTAATGTACGTGCGAATAAACTTGGGCCACGATAGAGAAGATCGAAAACTAAACGAGACTGATCAGGTAGTAGCTAATCTTTGAATATTTTATCTTTTTACTCAGGTTATATAAAATTCGAAGCTCACTTTTCGCAAAATGTTTACAAATGTTTTTAAATTTCCAAAAGAAAAAGAAGAAGAAGAAGAAGAAAAATTAAATAGGAAACGGTTACACCCTCTTCTAATAGTTAGTAGTAGTAGCAAAAGTTTAATTAGCATTTAAAACGTTATTATCTCTGGCAATAATTATATGCATGCAACCGTTTGATGCTTGTGTACGAAAACAAATTAATTATAAAAAGGTTTTACTCGTAATGCGAAATAAAATCCTTACATAAAGATTAATATCTATTAACAGTACACAACGCCAACAATGCTTATAATAATAAATAATTCAGTAAGGGGTCGATCGTCTCTCCATAGTCTTTTTCTTCTGTTTCTTGTTGTTGTTGTTGTTGTTGGTGGTGTTGTTGTACCATGTCTTGTCACATTAAATAAGAATCGCAAGCGTACGGTGAGTATGTTTATTTTTAGCTTCGGCAAATAAATCTTGAGGCGCAAAATACCGTTGCAACGGTTAAAACAGTTAAAACAACATTAATGCTATTGAAGATGTTGCATCGAAATTCCAAAACACACGACGGACGGAGCAACAATCAAGCAAGCAAGATAAGAAACAATGCCAAATAAATACAGTTGACAAGGGTGGGGGGAGGGGGGATAGGATAACGCTGCACTGCTGTATGTAATAAAGTTACAAAACAAAGCCCAGAAATGATCATAATATAGCATCACATCGTGATCATTATTATCGTTATTCTCAGCTTGTGGTCACGCGAAAGACCATCAATATGCAATGTGTGTATGCAATGCTCGAAGTGATCCCTAGGCTCATGAATAACAAATATTCAATTTTTTATGCATTTATGTAAAATAAAATTGATTCTTTTCAAAAAGACGTACGCACGCACGCACAAACGCACATACGCACATACGCACGCACATACGCATGGAGGCACGCACAACAACCTGTTACTCTGTTTTATCGCTTATTTGTATCTTCGAGTAAAGTGAGTGCAAGCAAATGAGTCTGGATGTGCTGCGAGTGTGTCTGTCTCAATAATGTGTGAAATCATCTTTTAGAACGAGAAGTGTGCATTTTGACAGCACACACCATCACTTATGGGCTTAAGGTGTTAATGTATGCAATCTACGAAATTCAAGTAATTCAAGAAATTCTTCTCAAAGGAATAAAAACACACGAATTGACTGGTTTGTCTTGTACGATTTGCTATTAAGAATCTTAAGAAGAATTAAAAAGAAAAAAAAAAAAAAAAAACAACAGAAAAAGAAAAAGTTAAGAAAAAGTAAAAAATAAATGATTGACACTTATAAAGTTTTGCCTTGACTTTAAAGGATCCATCAATGCACTGTTTTTCTGGAAAGCTACAATAAATTTCATTACATCTATAAAATATATATATATATATATATATATATTAGCCTTCAATTGTTGCGTGATAATTACCTTTTACGCACTTCCCCGTGAGGTATGCTAAATTTTCCATTTCACTTGTAACCCTCAATGACAGGCAAATAAACAAGTAGCTGTGTACGATGAATATATACGTGATGATCCGTCCATCCGTCCATCCGTCCTTGCCAGATTTCCTAATAAAATTTTGTGTTTTTATCATAATAACGTATTTTAGAAAATATTTTCGCGACTATATTAAGCAGTTTCATTATAACCTAATTGATCGACAAAGCCAAGAGATCAATACCAAAAAAGACCGAATTCAACCTATACATTCTGCAAGTAATTATTGCGCGAATTGTCAGCAGATGGACTTAATTCCGTTCTCTTTTGCCGTTCTAGTTAATACAATTGATCTGAAGACGTTCTGTTTTTTTTTTTCGGTTAGAAGGTCTTGGGAGTCCTTAAAGTTCCCAACCTCACCACGACCGCTCGTTTAGATCTTCACTTCAAATCCGTTTACTCTATATCTACTCTAGTGTCAAAGCAAATCAATTAAGATCGACGTGTGCTAGCCATGCGCCTGTTGACAGTCAAGTTACAAACCCATCGCCAAATTGCCTTAGATTGCATCAAAAGTTATTAATGATCAAAGTATCCAAACTGTTGCGAATGGATGCGAAACGGTTAGTTTAGTTCAAAGATCGCTATGAACCTGGCTGATGGGTATCCGAGATTCTCTTTAATGCCAATTTTTGCTTTTTCACTTGTTTACTCTTATGACTCTTTGTAAATATTTTATGAAAGAACTTGATTTTCTTATTATAAAGATAATCACTAAAGGCAATAAATCAGACGTTTACGAAGAACATTAAGGTAATAGCCACTGGGTAAAAACTGCCTGCAAGAAGACAAATATAAAGCAATTTACAAAACGCAAGAAATTATTTTCTCATTACATGCAATCTAAAGATCAGCTACCTTTGTTAATTTCGGACAATTAACGAGCAAAACTTTGCAAATATGATAATCTTATCCGGAATAGTTGAAGTAATTAAACCGAACTTGCGACAATTGACGGCAAACTAAAGTACAACACATTCACTTGCATTTGCATCATGCATCATGCAAATATGATTTGATTGCAGGCGTTTATGTGCAGCCGAACACATAGCTTGCATTGCACTGAAATTTGGAAGTGAAATCTATAACAAAAAAAAAAAAAATATCCGGGACGTGCGCTCCTGTCGCCCATTATCGCGTAACCAAATTATTGGCATAGAATGGGGACAAAAGAAAAATCGTTAAGCGAAATAATGTTCTCATTAACTAAATTAAACGCTGCTATAGTCCGAATGATGACTGTCTGTCCGAAAGATTTACCCAATCGTGCCATAGTTGAAAATATTCTCTTGCGATGACTCCCTGAAGCCTCCTCCTGACAAATATATATAGTTAATGAGCAACGGGGTTCGTTTCAATTCTCCAAAGGATATTTGAGTATTTATTTTCAAATTATTGAAAAAATAAATAAATAAATAAATAAAAACTTTTGGGTTTGTCTTGTATGTCGGTTTTTTTTTTTTTTGCTCCACGCCGAAGGGTAGTAAACAATTTTTAAAAATTAACTGATTTTTTATTTCATGGGAATACATTTTTTTACTTCAATATATATGCGATAGGAAGAATATGAGTGCCACGATGTGGCCGTGGCAAGGTCACTATTATATTGGGACTTTCGAAAATATCTTCATTATGTGTTTGAGTGAATTTTCATGGCTTTTATGTTGATGTAAAGAAAAGTGTTTTCCAGCAATGCATTTGCAATTTTTACACACTTTACTTAAAGGAAAATATTAGGTCAAAATAAGTTGGATATGTTTACAATCCTACTAATTGGCTCCCACATGTGCACACATGCACTTATCATAAAAACAAAAGGCACAATATTTCAAAATTTAACGATTTTTTTAATTAAACAAAGTCAATCAAAACAATTACGAAAACTGTGTTCGCTTCGAAACGAACACCTGACACTCTTTTCTGTGTCAACCTAATTTATGCACTTTTTAAGGTTTTTCTTTGTTTGTAAGCTTCCTAGCAATGGCATAGTGGACAGTACACGTCCCTTAGAGGTGAACTAGAGACATGAACGCGATAATTAGGAGCCAAGATTCGAATCAAGTATTTTGTCTCCGAGTTTCCGAAAATGGCGGACATGCATGCAATCATGCCGGCAAACATTGACTGGGATATCTCTTGATATCAAAACTGTAAGCATTTTATGGGCGCTCTGCAGAAACGAATCAATTATCGTAATGGAATGCATATGCGGATAGGGGTAAGTGTACAACAGAGGTCTGGAGATTGTCGTAAAAATGAAATCAAAATTTGAAAAAATATTCTTTTTCTTTTTTCAATAATCATAATTGCCGGAGTGCATAACACAGAGTGGTTTGCTTTCAAATCTTATTGGAAAGTACAAATTCCTTTTGCTGCTTTTGAAATGCCTCATGTATTTTCAAAGGCATACATGAAAATATTCCATTTTGATATAACCCAAATGAATTAATATTATATTATATATATATTATATGTTATATAATTAACGTACAAGTGCATAGTGAGTGAATGTACTCATAATCAGAGCTTTGATTAAAATCTGAACGTCAAGATAAGCGCTGTTAATTAATCTGACAGCTAGGAAAACCTAGTCAGGCAAACTATATTTTATATTAATTAACAAGAGATAATTGCGATGAAATTTTTCGAGACTTTTTTTTTTCCAGGACCGAAGGAGTTGGTGCGCTACGGACATTGTACATAGCATAAGATTCTAGAGCAATTTAGTCAAGTGTCTAGTCGGCATATCCGCTTCTCTATCACCTATCGTTGTAACACAATTTTTAGCGTAAATAACTATCTATGCAAGATAGGCTTAAAAAGATTACAAATTCATGAAAAATTTGTTCTAAATGAACTGCTGCTAGACTCTCACGGTTGTTTACATTTTCTTGAACGGTGAACGGTATCCAATATTCGTCCTAGAATATGTACAATTTTAATATATGTTTAGAGATAAGTGTTTGTGCTTGGTCTGACTGATGTAGAGACCACCTCTCACTTAAATATAATTAAATTAAAACGCAACTAAAATCTGCACTGACGAGTAACCACAATTGATTGCAAAGCGTACAAGATACAGGAAATGCCGTTAATATGAACTAAAAAAAAAAAAAAAATGTTGCTTTTGGAAAATTCTCATCAGTGCATTTATAACGATTCAACAGAAAATGATTCATGTTCTTTTCATGTGAGATCATTTTAATTTGATACAAGCTCTAGCAATTGGCTATAACACAAGAACAACAAGAATATATAGCAGTAATAATAACAATAACAGTAACAGTAACAAATTCCCCTTTCATGTAATTTTGAGTAACATAAAACAGTTAACTTGATCGCCCTCATAATTATATTGACATTTTGACTTTGATGAATGTTCGTTAATAGCTTTGGCTGACGTTAACATCACTGTGAAGATGTTAAAATCGCTTCAATGTCTGTCTTAAAAGTATACTTTTTAAAACTTTAATAAAAGAATAAAACAAAAGGTAAAACAAAGGAATAAATAAGGAGTAGAGCCTGCTTGTAATTGGTGCAAGAAATTATGAATAATTAATTCACTTATGTTCAACGGAGTCGATGGAATTTTTATTACTTTGGGTTAAATTCAATTTATACCTAACTATCAGTTATTTATTGTAATCGTTTCGCATCCTTTCGCATCGCTACAAGCAGAAATCAATAAACGTAAATACTAAATAACTGTTTATTGCTTGAACACTCTGCAATTACGTGCTTATACGCAATGGCTGTAATTTACTGCTTAACCTGATTATTAAATAAACAATATTCTGATTGTGTTTTAATTTCATGTTTGTATGCGTAAAAATTTTGATAATTTTTTTTTTTTTTGAAAGTTATTTCAATACATTTTGAAAAGAATACAAACCAAAGATTAGTACGATAAACAGTTGGTGAGCAGAAATTCAAATCTACTAAACAAACGGCCACATAATTAACAAACATTTATACGCAGCATTCGTCGTTCAGTTTGCAGTTCACATTTTCTCATTTCTATATTTATATTACATAGCCCAAGAGTATGCTATAGTTTTTCAAAATGTTTTAAATATAAACTGATCTTGTTTGACGCAAGATGTCGCCCGATTGTTGTCTGAAATGTACAAGTATTGTGGACACTAAATCTTACGAAAAGAGAATTTTTCTTACAAGTCCACCGGTACAGTAGCACAAACTAACGAAATGGTTGATCGGTCTTCATTAACACACAAAGCTGAAACGGGAAATAGAGAGTAACATTGTTGGATTTGATTGAATGGGAGAGAAACAGGATATTTAATTTTTTTTTCTATACATGCAGATGTCTTCTGTTGAAGACATGTTAGCATTTTCGTAAAAGATTAACATAAACTACAATGAAGTTATGAACTTACACTCAACCATGAAAGTTTTCTAAGGCTGAAGTAAGCCTGCAAGTAATCAAGTTTTGCCCGATGCCCAAAATGATTTCTTGCTTATCTCCCACTTTCTCCCAGGCTAAACTTTAGAAAACAATCATCAACCATCACCAGCTCAATAAATTTCCAGGCGAGAGATTCTCTGTGTCATACTACTCCTATCACTAGGATTACTGAATGCGTCATTTTGATCATTTTTAATTTTCGACTTTCAGAGCATGCAGTGGTCAGAAACTTTTCGGCGAGAAGATATTTAAATACTTATAATGGCTTTTTTGTCTGGTGGGGTTTAGTTTTCGGCATGCCTGTGACATTCCTTGATCGATTAAGAACGTCGGGATAAAAATTGATCGTCATCTTATATGCACGCCCGGAATATGAAAGAAACTGAAACAAGTCTGTAACTTTCACTGCGGTGAAGATAATTACGAAAATCTTGTGATGGAAGTATTCGTGAGAATCGTCTTCATGTATTTGCGATAAAAGTTTATTTACAGTTTATTTCCAATTTATTTCTCGTTTATTTGAAAGCACATTAGGATTTTTCCCACCCGATCGCAAAT